CCATTACTTAAATGGCTTTACGTGTTAGACCTAAGGTCAATGTACTGACATCAGTGACTAGAAATTATTGTAGTTTTTGTAAGGTGCAGAGCTGTTTTCTTTAGGTCTATTCTATCTGTGTCAGAAAAGGATGGCAAAAATAATGAAGGCATACCGATGTATGCATTCATGTAGACTGAGAGATATGTCAAATGCATTAGGCATTCTCAAACCACGAGAGGTTAAAACTGCTCCCAAAATGCAGGTTATTACGAGGGCAAGTGGAAATGAGTAATGGGGTTTGTCTGAATTAATGGTAGACTGTGATCTTTAATAGTCCTACCCTGATGGTAACCTATATGAAAAATGCAGAGGGGTGTAAAATGTATCAGGGGTCCAATTAGAGCAATATTGGAACAACTACAGAAAATGTAACACTAATTGCCTCATCCTATAGAACTTTGCAGATGCAGTAACCGTGTCTACGAACTGAGGAGCAGAGTTGGAAAAGAGATGTTAAACTCAAGGGGAATTCTTTGAAATATGAGAGTATTCAACGCATGTCCAGAGATCACAGTAATGAATGGGAAGAGTAGGTGGGGGCTAGAAAAGGAAATTACTTTGGAATCTGCTCTTTTATGTATTGTCACTTATATAAAACTATCACTAATGTTATTGCTAATATTATTGTAGATGATAAGATTTTTCCAAGCGCTTTTTGTCCTTTGAATCCCACCCCTGAGGAACCTGAGTATTCTAAATAGTTTTTTTCAATGTCTATAAGTGGTTATAGGTAGGGAGACACAGAGTATACTCTATAAAGACTATAACGGGTCCTGTCTTGGTTAACTGAAGACTTTATCATTAATCTAATGCTATGTATATGATTTACGTCTGGGAACTTTATTAACAATTTTATATGTGAAGATGAGTATTTTTATTGCAAAGGTGACTCAAAGACCGTTAGAAAACAAGAGCTATCATGGTGATTTTAAAACATCAATTTTGAAAGGTGTGCCACATTAGTTTAGAACAGAGGTGTATTTTTCTGTGCTGTCTCTAGTGGCACCACTGCTGTAGTTTTGGAATGAAAGGAACACGTTAAGAAACATAACCACAACACCATGCTCAGTGGAGCTAACAGAACAGGTGGTGGTGAGTACCGACAGAACACAGTAAGATGTCAAACCATTTACAAATACTCCACTACTTTTAGCCCACACCTTTGGGTGGCTTCCCAAATACCCTCCCAGACTGTTCTAATTTGTACCTCTCCCAGGGGATGTTCCCATTGATGTGTGTAGATCACAGATACCCCTTCACCTTAGAGCAGTGGTTCCCAACCTTTTTAGGTTCAAGGCCCCCTTAATATTCCAATATTTCTCCAAGGTGCCCCAAGTCAAAATGATTTTCTAGGTTGTAGCGGAGATCCAAAAACGAATCCTGGTAGGGGCACTGGTAGATTATTTAAAGAAACAATCCAGGCACAATAACCACTACAGCACTTTGTAGTAGTTATTGTGCCAGTAGTGCCATAGTGCCCTCCTAGTGTAAGTAGTCAAACTGTTTAAGAACAGTTTGACAACTTACCTTGGATCTGCCGGGATAGGGGCTGTAGTAGGGGATAGAGGCAGTAGTGTGTGTGGTGGAGTGTGTGTGTGAGGGGTGCAATAAGTGTAAGGGTGTGCATTGTGTTTGTGAAGGATGTCGGGTGTGCGTTAGGGGTGCAGTGTGTGTGTATGTGGGGCAGTTTGTTTGTGAGGGGTACAGTGTGTGTATAAGGGGTACAGTGTTTGTGGGGGGGCAGGTTGTAGGAGGAGTATAGTGTGTGGGGGGAGGCAGATTGTATGTGGGATACAGTATGTGTATGAGGGGTACAGTGTGTGTGGGGAGGCAGGTTGTATGTGGGGAACAGTATGTGTATGAGGGGTACAGTGTGTGTGGGGAGGCAGGTTGTATGGGGGGTAATTGTGGGTATGGGGGCAGTGAGAATGGGGGTGTAATTTTGGGTAGGCAGTGTGTATGTTTGGGGGTAATTGTGTGTATGGGGGGCAGTGTGTGTGACAGGTACAGTTTGTGTACTGAGCGGCAGTGTGTATGTATGGGGGGGCAGTGTGTGTGAGGGGTACAGTGTGTGTGACACGTACAGTTTGTGTATGGAGCGGCAGTGTGTGTGAGGGGTACAGTGTGTGTGACAGGTACAGTTTGTGTATGGAGCGGCAGTGTGTGTGTATGGGGGTGCAATGTGTGTGTATGGGGTGAGTTATTGTGTAAATTCATAAATATATATTTATAAATATAAATATATATATTTTTTAAACTAAAAATAATAATTGATATCCTCCCTCCCTGCTTACCTTTGCCTGGGAGGGGGGACAGTACTAATCCCTTATTGCTCCGGTGGGGAAGCCCTGTTCACTCTCAGGAGATTCGGAGCATTGCCGTAGTAACCGCAGCAACGCTTCAAGCTCATGAGAGGAGAACCCAGCGACGCTGCAGGTTAGAGTTCCTCCAGGTCCTCTCTCCCTTCCTCCCCTGTCGACTGCCAGCATTACACTGCTAGCAGGGCGGTGAGGGAGATCTGTGATCTCCCCTCCGGTCCTGCAGAGCTGGCAGGGGAGAGGGAGGCATTATTTGATCATAACACAGGGAAAATATCTTGTGGCGCCCCTCTGTGCCCATTGCGGCGAGGCACAGAGTTTGGGAACTGCTGCCTTAGAGTTTACAGGGTTATAGGGTTATTTGGAAAAGTGAGAATTGTCATGAATTCAAAGTGAATTTCGAATATAAAGCCAAAATAGCTGAAATAGAAAAATTCTCAAAATATTTTTTTTAATATAATACTCATTTCATTAAGTTTGGAAAGAAACTGGATTTATATATATATATATATATATATATATATAAATATGTGTGTGTGTGTGTGTGAAAAACCCCTACCTTTAGGATCCTTCAGCCATATACATACACCTTGGGCCGGACAGTGTTTCATAACGACAGTCTCTCTGGTGTTCCCTGCTTCTATGCTAGGAGTGGAGCACAGAGACTAACCGTATGTTATCATCAGAGGCGGCTCTCTAATTAAGCGGCTTAGGCGGCCGCCTAAGTCCTCGCGCTGCCTGGGGCCTCGCGGCCGCCTACACCACCTGTGGGCAGACTGTGTCAGGTCCTCGGTCACTGACCGAGGACCTGCCACCATGAGGGGGCCCGGCGGCTTGCCCGGTATGTCGCCGGGTGCGAGGCCCCTGCTGGTTCAGTCTCCCCACCACCTTCAGCCTCCCCACCACCCTCAGCCTCACCACCACCCTCAGCCTCACCACCGTCAGCCTCCCCACTACCCACCACCCTCAGCCTCAACACACCACCACTCTCAGCCTCACCACCACCCTCAGCCTCACTCACCACCACCTTCAGCCTCACTACTACCCTCAGCCTCACCACCACCCTCAGCATCACCCTCCCCATCAGCCTCACCACCCCCCACCACCCTCAGCCT